CCACCAGGCTGGTCCCTCAGTTGATCTTATCTTTAAGTTCACTGATTCCTCTGCTGTTTCAGATCTGCTGTTGAGCCTCTCTAAGGAATTTTTTATTTCAGATGTACTTTCCAACTCCAGAATTTTTTCTTTTTTATAATTTCTGTCTCTTTATTGATATTCTATATTTGGTGGGACATTGTTCTCATACTTGCTTTAGTCCTTCAGACAGAGCTTCCTTTAGTTCTATTAAAGTATTTATAATAGCTGATTTAAAGTCTTTGTCTAGCAAGCCCAGGGTCTTGGTTTCCTCAGAGACAGTTTCTGTTGACTCCTTTTTTTTCCTCCCTGTGTGTGGGCTATACTTTCTTGTTTCTCTGAGTAGCTCATAATTTTTGTTGCAACTGGACATTTAAAATAATAATACATGGCAAATTGGGAAATCAGATTTCTCCCCAACTCAGGGTTTATTATTGTTGTTGTTTGTCTGTTTAGTGACTTTCTGGGACTGATTCTGTTCAGTCTGTATTTGTCAGTTATGGCTGTGAAGTGTGTGTGCTGGGGTGTGTTTTCAGTGTTCTGGCAGGTGGCTTACAGCTCTCCATTAGCCTTTACTTCCTGCCTGCTCAAAGCCTCAAGGTTGGCCAGACGTGGCAGATTCAGGCCTTCTCAGGTCTGTCCTGGGCATGGGACAGCTTTGTATGTGGGCATGGCCTTCTAGATCTCCAGAATGTGTTGGTGTTTTTCATTCCCCAGTATTTCTTTTTGAAGTCTTTTGGTCAGGGGGTGGCCCCTGGCCAAGTGGTTAAGTTCATGCACTGAGCTCCAGAGGCCCAGGGTTTCACTGGTTCAGATCCTGGGTGTAGACCTAGCACTGCTCATCGGGCCATGCTGAGGCGGCGTCCCACATGCCACAACCAGAAGCACTCACAACTAGAACATACAACTATGTACTGGGGGGCTTTGGGGAGAAGAAGAAAAAAAAAAGCCTTTTGGTCAGCCTCTTGTTAGCCCCAGTTGGTATCTCAGCTTCAGGCAGCTGTGATGTTAAATTGCCACTGATGTTTTTGACAAATGCCCTCAGGATGGGCTGTTTGTACAGAGTGAGCTCCAAATCAGGTCAAATAAAGACAAACCCTGATGATGGAGCTTTTCACTGAGCTGCCAGATAGGTCGAATGGTGGGACTTCTCTGGGGATGGGGGTTTTGGGGAGCTCCAGACCTGTCTTATTCCCTCCTGTGGCTGCCAGCTTGCTGGTTTCACAGTGACTGTCGTTGCAAGGCTGCTGATTTTCAAGGCTACCTTGGAGCCGGCAAGAGGGGAATGGGAATAGGGTAAGTTAAAATGCCACAGAGCTCGTTCTTACTGAGAGTCAGACGTTTTTCTTGAATAAATACTCCTGGGATTTTGGCAAGTCTTTGGTTTCTTTCTAGAGTTCTGAAAACATTGATGTTGACAGTTTTTGCCAGTGTTCTCGTTGCTGTTATGTGGGAGCAGATTTTCTGAGTTCTGACTCCCCCATTCTAGAGGTGCTTCACCCCTCACCCACTAGCCTTCCTTGTTTTTTTCTGCCGGTGCCTCCTCCTGTTCTCCTGGGTCTCTCTGCTTTAGCTGCACTGGCCTCACTGTTGGTGAATGCACCAGGCATGCGTCTGTCATAAAGCTTTTGCACTGCTCTTACCTCTACCTGGAATATTTCCCCCCCAGCTACTGCATCGCTTGCATCCTCACCTCCTTCTCAGGTCTTTGCTCAGATGTCACCTTCTCAGTGTGGCTTGGTTGACCACTCTACTCAGTTTTTAATTTTTTATTTATTTTTTCCTTTTTCTCCCAAAGCCCCCCACCCCAGTATATAGTTGTGTATTTTTAGCTGTGGGTCCTTCTGGTTGTGGCATGTGGGATGCTGCCTCGGCATGGCTTGACGAGCGGTGCCGTGTCTGCACCCAGGATTCGAACCGGCTAAGCCCTGGGCTGCCTAAGCGGAGTGTGTGAACTTGACCACTCAGCCACAGGGCTGGCCCCTACTTATTTTTTTGGACCATCTTACTTAGCGTTGCAACCTTGCCGACTCCAAGCATTCCCAGTCTTCCTTTCTGATTTATTTTTCTCCTTAATACTTATCCTTCTCTAACCTGCTGTACAATTTAGTTGCATTGATGTATTTTTTTATTAGCTGTTTCCCCAACTAGAACTCAAGCTCCGTTAGGGCAGGGATTTTTTTTCTCTTTGTGTTGATCTCTTTATCCTTAGCCCCTACAACAGTGCCTGAGTCAAGGTTGATGCTCCATAAATAGTTGTTGAATGAATGAATAAATAAGTGTTAAGGGTTATACAAATGTAGTTTAAAAAGGAAAAAGGCTGTATAAGCAATCTGATTAGCAGAAACTACTAGTTAACTCACATGTTAACTTTTTAGTAGATATGTATTCTAATGCAACTAGTACCATGAAACAGTTACAATGCTCAGTGTTTATATGGTGTGTATTATCTCATGCCACCCTATAGGAGGCCTTTACTTAGGAGGCTTGCTTGAGTGGGGTTGGGGCTCAGGGCAAGAGGAGGCAAGGAGCAATATTTTTGTATTATCATATATAAGTTTTTTAATTGGCTACTATTTTGTCATGCTGACCATTAGCCAAAAATTGCTCTTCATTTTATTGAATATTCACTATAATAATTTTTCTAAAAAACTCACTGATTTTACCCTTTTTCCAACTTCTTAGGGGCTGGAAGCCAAATGATGTGGTTAGAAGGAATTATTTTAGTTTCCCAGTTTTGGCATTGATACCAATTTTTGCAACAAAAATTTATTCAACATTTTGTACACTATGCTGTTTTGTTGTTGACACTGCCGTTGAGTCAGTTCTGACTCCTAGCGACTGTGTGTGCAGCAGAGCGGAACCCTGTCTGGTCTTTTTGCTCCATCCTCTCACCTTCCAGCGCTGTATCAGCTAGTGCTCCACTGCTGTTCCTAGGGTTCTCATCGCCAGTTTTTTTGGAAGTAGGTGGTCATGTCCTTCTTCCTAGTCTGTCTTAGTCTGGAAGCTCTGCTGAAATCCTTCCACTCTGGGTGACCCTGCTGGTATTTGAAATACTATTGGCATAGCTTTCAGCCTCACAGCAACTTGCAGCCATCACAGTATGACGACTGACAGATGGGTGGTGTGGTTCCCAGACCAGGAAATGAACCGGGCCACGGAAGTGAGAGCACCACATCTTGACCATTAGACCACCAATACTGTGCTGTTAGACAGTAGGTAATATCAAAATAGATATGACATTGTCCTCTGCTCTTTAAAAAATTACAGCTTATTTTGAGACAAGAAAGTTGATGTAAAAACTCTCCTCTCATGATCACTGATCAGGATCTTTCTTTGGCACTTTTATTTCTTCTTTTGTTTCATCTGCTTATTTCTGCATGTGCCTTATTACTTGTCCCTAACTGTAAGCTCCAGGAAGGGAACCATGTCTTTCTCATTTTTGTATCACTTGTGACCTGAAAAATTATGCATCGAATTACTGCATTACTAATTTATGTGGATTTTTTTTTTCCTCCTTTGAGGAAGATTAGCCCTGAGCTAACTGCTGCTAATCCTCCTCTTTTTGCTAAGGGAGACTGGCCCTGAGCTAACATCCATGCCTGTCTTCCTCTACTTTATATGTGGGACGCCTGCCACAGCATGGCGTGCCAAGCGGTGCCATGTCTGCATCCGGGATCCAAACCAGCAAACCCAGGGCCACCGAAGAGGAACATGCACACTTGACCACTGTGCCACTGGACTAGCCCCATGTGTGGATGTTCTTTTAAGTCCATAAAGTGCAGAGAAATGTCAAGTGATATTTTCTAAAAATTAAATAATACAAAGTACTATCAAGTGCTGAATGAGTGGTATGGGTGCTAAGTTGTATGGGACTGTTGGAGGTGACAACGTCACTGTGGACTGGGAAGTTGGGCAAGACTTTGCAGAGGAGGTGGGCTTCAGGCTCTGGAGGAGCTGTCACCGTTCTGTGGTTAGGAACGGGAAGTGTCTCCCAGTTGGAGGGAAGAGCTAGTGCAGTGTTGGGGAGCATTATGCAGAGCATCTTCAGAGACCAGTGAATGGGTCAGGTGTACTCGCGAGGGTATGAGTGTGTGTGTGGTTGAGGGCAGAGGGGGCAAGTGGTGCTTGAGCCTTCTGCTTGTATGTGACTTTTAGACAAGTTCTTTTACTTTTCCTTTGTTTTTTTATCTGCAATTAGAGCAAAAGAGTTAGACTTGATGAGTTTGCCTCTAAAATCCATGTCTCTCTCTCTCTTTTTTTTAAATGTCAGGACTTTAGTAAGCATCACTAAGCAAGATGTTTTTGGAGTAAGTGGATGAATGACAAAATAAGAGGTTTTTTAGGGCTTCTGGGAGATTCATATATGTTTCAAAGAAAAGAAACTGGAAGCAGGTAGATCAGTTATTCATTTTAGTGGTTTGAATATAAATCCTGACTTAAGATCAGGGAAATGAGAATGAAGTAACAAGAGAGATGTTAGAAAGACTGATAAGGTTTCCTTCTTGTGTGGGTAAAGCAGAAAAGAGAAGTGATAATGTTGAAATTTGAAACTAAATGAACTGAGGATGAGTAGGATATTAGGAATGACCTGTTATTTTTAGTTGGGATGGGGGGATGGATGGAGAGGATCAAGCCTGGTGGAACGATAAAGTTTAATTTTAAACATGTTTAAGTGCTGCTGGAAGATAAAAACATAATGAGAACAAGACATACCCACTTCTTTAAAGGTGCTCCCAGTGACCATATTAATGCAGAAGAGTGTATACAAAGGACAGTGGACTTCCAGAGGAGGTGGAGGGAGAGGGAGGGCCTAGGGCTTCCAGGGTTCCAGGGGCAGACGGTGACATGCGATAGGCAGGAACTCGTCAGAAAGTAACATAAAAGTCAGTTTGAGTCTTATGATGCTATTTCCCTTCTTTATGCATCCCCTTGCCCCTATCTTGTTTGATTTTTAATGGTCATTTCTCTTCTTTCAAAAGGATCTACCGCTACCAATCTCATGACTATGCCTTCAGTAGTGTTGAGAAGTTACTACATTCTCTAGGAGGGGACGAATTCCTTGGAATGCTTAACCGAACACTTCTTGAAACCTTGCAGAAAGCAGGCTTCTCTGAGAAATTCCTCAATGAAATGGTTGCTCCTGTCATGAGGGTCAATTTTGGCCAAAGCATGAACATCAATGGTTTTGTGGGTAAGCCAAGGCTGGGAACAGGTATAGACACTAGTTCACAGAGGGGCTTACCTGATGCTATGGTGGCTCCTGACTTTAGGCCTTGAGTTGGAGAAGACTCCCTTTCTCTGTGCCACCTCAGACATTGTTTGCAAAGTTGCGGATATGTAGATGTGCATTTTTACAGGGAGAGGGTCCTTAGCTGTTGTTAGTTGAATGGTTCTCGCTTAGGGGAGATTGTGCCCCCAGCGGCCATTTGGCAATATCTGGAGACATTTGGAGCAGAACTCACCTAAATGGAAAGGGAGTGTGGGTAGAGGGCCTCTTAGAGAGTCAGAATTAAAACACATTTTTCCCTCCTGCCAACAGGGGCAGTGTCAATGTCCTGTGCTGATTCTGGCCTTTGGGCAGTAGAAGGTGGTAATAAACTTGTTTGCTCACGGCTCCTTGAGGCTTCCAAAGGCAACCTTATACATGGCTCAGTAATGTACATAGAGGAGAAAACAAGAACCAAGCAGACGGGTGAGTTTGAACTTCTATTTTATTGTTCCTAATTTCCCCTGTAGGAAATAATTGCTCAGGCAGAGAAACCTCTCTTCTGCCATCTCTCACTCAGTTCCAAATGATGGAATTTTAAATTGTATATGTTGTGCCCTGTAGAAATATTCCCAGATGTGCTCAAGTACAGTGGTGTGACACTTTGGATTTGAAAAATAATCTCATCCTCGAAAGTAAAAATTCCATATTTTATACTTGTTGACAAGGTGTGATTTCCTTTCCCAGTAGGAAATTGCTTCAATTTGGGACAGTTATCTGTCCCAAAGGAATAAAACTTCTTTAATTCCATAGAATTATAAACTGTTAAGAAGGTATAAAATTATTTTTAGAAGGTATAAAATATAGTATATTAGAAACACTAAAGAAATGTATGCTTCCTTATTTCCTCTAGGAAATCCCACAAAAATGTATGAAGTGGTCTACCAAACTGGATCTGAGACCCGTTCAGACTTCTATGACATCGTCTTGGTGGCTACTCCCTTGAATCGAAAAATGTCCAATATAACTTTTCTCAACTTTGATCCTCCAATTGAGGAATTCCATCAATATTACCAACATATAGTGACAACTTTAATTAAGGGGCAATTGAATTCAACAATTTTTACCTCTAGACACTTAGATGAGTTTGATCTCAGTACAATCTTAACCACTGATAGTTCAGATTTGTTCATTAACAGCATTGGGATTGTGTCCTCAGTAAGAGAAAATAATCCTCAACCATCAAAAGGTGGGACATATGTTTGGAAGATCTTTTCCCAAGAAATTCTTACTAAAGAACAAATTTTAAAGCTCTTTTTGTCCTACGATTATGCTGTGAAGCAGCCGTGGCTGGCATATCCTCACTATAAGCCTCCGGAGAAATGCCCCCCCATCGTCCTCCACGATCGACTGTATTACCTCAATGGCATAGAGTTTGCAGCAAGTGCCATGGAGATGAGTGCCATTGCAGCCCACAATGCCGCTCTCCTTGCCTATCACCGCTGGAACGAGCACGCACACATGATTGACCAAGAGGACTTATACGAGAAACTGAAAACTGAACTATGAAATAACATTGTCACTCCCCCCACCCCCGCCTTGGTTCCGAATGGAATATTATTGGCAAAAAAGAATACAATCTGAGATGATTTTGAAGCAGATGTTTTGCCATTATCATTGTTTAACTGAAGTCATCCCAGAGAATCAAGAGAAAATACAAAGTTCTAATTAAGTGTGAAAGTATAATGCATTTATGCCATCTCCCAAATTTCTTAACTCTTCTTTTAATATCCATCAAGATTGTTTCCAAGCTTGTCTGATCTTAAGAATCATGTGGAGTTTGTTAATCGTAAGAGATTCTCTTGCTTCTCTGGTTAATCAGTGGATCTGGGGGTGGGGCCCTGGATTTTAAACAAGACTTTAGAGGATTTTAAGCTGAGCACTTGAGGAAGAATTTAAAGACGTTATCTTTTAGTTGGGGACTAGTTCATTTGCAGTTCATGGCTGGATGTGATCTTCAGATAGTGAAAACTATTATGGAAGCTGGTGTGTCATGCCTGGCTTTAGTAATTGATACCTTTTCAAAGTAAATCTGCCATGCCTGAAGCCTTGACTTTCAGAATGTTCTTTGGATTCTGTTTCAGTTTTATTAGGGGTGACATTTCAAAGTTTTAGTGGTATAACCTTAAGATGTCATAAAAAATCTCAAGTAAAATGAAAAGCCAGGCTATTGATTTAAAGAATTGGCATTCTATCATCAAATCCTCACTTATGAAGCTTTCACAAATACTGGTAGATCCTCACAAAGATTCTGATTTATTGGATGGAGGAGAGGACCTCAGCATTGTAGCTTTTTAAAGTTCCTAATGTTGAGAATTGCTGATGTGGGGGTTTAAGATGTGTTCAAAGGGTTTTCAGTGCCTTTAAAGTCCCAAGAAACCCAATCCGTTATTAAAGCAGATCCATTTTGCAAAGAATGATTTCTCTCAATGAGAACTCAAGTAGTAATCTTCATAGTAAGAAGCATCGACAGTCTAATAGCAGAGGCAACTTTGTTTACTCCAGAGCACTTGACAATAGAGTAGGATATTCAGAATGACACTACGCTTGATCAAATCCAGCATATGCCCAAACTCCTGAATGCTTCTAAAGCTACTGTAGCATTTTGGGTGAGAAATTCACTGCTGAAATCTTTTAAGGTCATAGTTCTCAAATTTGGCTGCAAGTTGGAATCACCTATAGGACTTTAAAGCTTCCTGAATGATTCTAATATGCAGCCAAACTTGAGAACCAGTTCTACATCCACTGTGCAACGATCATGAATGACTGTTCTTATACTTGTGAATTCTAAAAGTAACTGCAACCAAGTTAACGTGTCCTGTTAAAAAAAAAAAAAGTCCTTTACCAGATTATGGCAGTAACTACTTTAGCAAAATGGTCTAAGAGAACATTGATTCTTAGTTAAAATGATTTCTTCTCTACTACAATTGTGAATATTAACATGCTGATAAAACTGCCAAGATAGAGTTGATGTAAAGGCAGGGATTAAATTTTGTTTGTCAAAGCGTGAGCTTTTTTCTAATTTTATTCTTAACAAGCCTAAGACGCATTCAAGCTTTTTTCCTTTTGTGGTTTTAATGAAGACAATACAGAGAATGTCATACTGTGTTATGTGTATGTTAAAGATTGGTAAATACTAATGAAATAATTTATTTTCTATCACTTGTAGACTGTTTTGCAATGGGATATATATTTTACTTATAAGAATATCAATTTAAAATGTTGCTGTTACATCAAAACTACACTGATTAAGTTTTCCAACAGGGTATCTGAAATTGCTTCCTCAAAGAGCAAAACAGATTATCAATATATCTAGCATATTAGATTGTTTGCAATTACAGTATTAAAGGGTAATTTTTTGTTGGAAGAAAAATACTATCAGAGCCTGTTACCTGGTCCAGGAGACCACTCTACTCATCTTTTTGTAGAAGACACTGGTAAAAATTATGCAGGGGCTAACAAAGCTAGCTCTACTCCAGTGGTTCTCCAGCTTGGGTATGCATCACAATCACCAAGGGCTGGCTGGGCCTCACCCTCAGAATTTGTTTCAATAGGTTTGGAGTGGTATACAAAAATGTGCATTTCTATTAAGTTCCCAGGTGATGCTCCAGGGCTAGGAACCACAATTAGAGAACCAGTCTTATAATTCAGCTGTGTGTGGCTGCACAAAATGCAAGCCTGTAAACATCAGCGAAGATTTCTTTAGAGATGGTGAAGAATGGAAGAATAAAAATATATAGGAAGTCATATCAACTCTGCTTATTGTGATTAAGTTGGTTTTATCCCTCTGTTCTTTTGCCATATTTTCTATAAATAGGAAATACCATTTTAGAGATGCCTATAAGTCATCCAGTGTGTTCTGTTTTATACAAGTACCTCACATACCCACGTGCAGTATACCCCATTTTCTACAGTTTTATTAAAGTGATTGATGATTTGTACGCTTTTTACCTATAATCACAAAAACCAGATCACAAAAAGAACAGGCCTAAGTATTTGCTTGGTAAATTTCTTTTTTTTTTTGAGAAAGATTAGCTCTGAGCTAAGATCTGTGCCCATCTTCCTCTACTTTATACGTGGGACGCCTGCCACAGCATGGCTTGACAAATGGTGTGTAGGTCCGCACCCAGGATCTGAACTGGTGGACCCTGGGCTTAACTGCTGCACCACTGGGCCAGCCCCTGTAAGTTTCTTAAGGTTAGGGTTATGATACAACCATCTGTAAAATATCTCTCATCTGAGTTTGTGCACCATAAAATTTATGAGCAAGATGAGTATGTTACAGGCAGCATTATCACTACCTTCTGTACTCCACAAAGAATCACAATACACTGGAATGTTTTTCTCTGGAACTCTATTTCTACTGTGGTATTCAAAAATTTTTTCCCACTTAACGTTCAAAATAAACAACTACATCATTACTTCCTGTGTTTTACTTGTCTTGTACTATACTTGGAATGTAGATGTACTAAGAACAGAGTACATCAAAGTTATGAAAATTGCAGTTACTCTTTCAGGAGAAACCCACTCAGGTTTCCAGGTGTTTTATCTCTGTTTATTGTTAAAAGATGGAAAAAAGGCATCCTTGCCATGTTTCACATTTAATCAGACTCGCAGGAATAAGTTCATGTTAGAAAAAATTAGAATAAGGGCTAATATTCTATTTTCTATGCTCAGAACATCTGAGAAAGCATTTTTGCCTATTACAAAAGTTTATTTAACAAAAAAGTTCAATACGAAAATGTACATGACCCAATTTTTATGTTGGAGTAAAACAGGTGCTGTGGAGCAGGGACATGTGGAAGGAGCTGATTTCTCTGGGGAACACAGCCTTCGTTTATACTCGTTCCAAGGCTTCTAACATGATGATACTATTTCCTCGTATTACCTAAGAAAAAGAGAAGTAAATTTGAAAAAATTCACTTAACAGACCTATCGATGATTAAAAGAATTTTCACCAAATCATTAATGTTTTTCCAGTTTTAAATGTCAGTTTGTGACTTTTTTCAAGCCACAAGGACCCCAAATAACTCAAGTCTTTCAATCATGAAGCCACTAAGCCCTTTGTAAGTGAGATATGCATCTTCTATATCAAAGGCTAAGTACCCTTTTGAGATGCCAAGTCTCCAATGACTCATTTCACTTTCTAAACTGTAGGACTCAAGTAACATTGCCCATCTGTGCCCCTAAGGGATCCATGAATTAACAGGAATAGGTACAGCAGAATACGTATGTCAGTTCAGGGTGTAAGATCATTGAGGGAACAAACCAGGATGGAAGTTGCAAAAAGCAGGCTTTATGAAGATGGCATTTTAGCTGGGTCTTGAAAATTCCGTAGAATTTGGACGGGAAGAAATTCTAGACAGAACTGAGATGAAAAAGCATAAGAGGATAACGAAAGAATCTACTTTGAATGCAGTAAAAGCTTATGAAGGGAAGTGAGAAACAAAGATAGTATGCATCTCAGAAGGCCCCAAACACCAATCTTCCAGTGTTTGGAGGACATTTTCATGACACAATAAGCTAATGAAAGTTTCACAGTTGGGGGAATAACCACTGTTCTGGCAACTGCATATATAAATATAGAGAATGGGAGAGACCTTAAGAGTCAGGAAGAGAAATTTTAAAGAAAAGGCCCTATGAGCACAGTGCCCGACACAGTAGCCATTCCATAAATGAAGATCAGCAAGGATACTCACGAGAGCATAGGTGAAATGGCTGGTGACTGAATTCAAGAGGGGGAGAAAAATAAGTCAAACTGGAAGGCAAGGGGACTGAAAATAAGGTGCTTCTGGTGGACTGCAGATCATAATGCAATCACAGATGAGGTCAAGCAGAGCTGGATAGGTCAAAGGACAGGAGGGGGATGAGAGGAAACATAATTTATTAGAAAGGGAGGCATTCTGGATAAGATTCAAAGTGGAGCTATGCTTGTAGGCAGCTGGAGTAAAAATAGCTATAACTTGTTCTTCTCTCCCCTCATTCTGCTTGCTTTATATATTACATACACTGTTATTTACTGTCTTCCTCACTCACATGTCATTTCTAGAGGGTAGGGACTTTGGTGCAATAGTCCAGTACCTAAAGTAGTGGCAGGCACAGAAAAGGCTCAATAAGTATCTGTTAAATAAACAAACGAACTCGCATGTGATTTCTGCAGCTCAGACTGGAAAGGAACATGACAGATGGGAGAGTGTCTTGGAGCCTGGCAGAAACCAACAGCAATGAGTATGGAGAGAAGGTGGCAAAGAGTTAAAGAGCAGTATTAAAAGAGAACAATGCCCTGACAATGACAGTGGGGACTGAAGCAGCCTACAGACTCTTACTCTTAAGTGAGGGATAGAAATGAAGAAAGCTAGACAACATGCTTGCCTAGTTCTCAGTTTTAAATTTCTGGTTTATTTGCAACAGATGATGAACATCATATATCACTGATTAAAGCATGAAAAACAGCTAGCTTCCTTTCCTAGCTCCCTCCTAAATTTGTCCATTTCTGATACTTTCCCTAGAACTCAAGGGTGGTGGAGAGAAGTTACTTCAGATAAACTAAAATTTTCAGATCTGAGGGATTTTTTTAGGGGATTCATTAAAAAACAAAACTACGCCACTTTCACCAACATTTTCTAAAGTGCTATTACACACTTCTTTGCCTTCTCACATATATACAGGAAGTAGGGCTAGTCAGTGAACACATCTGCCTTGTGGTGCTCTTCCTTTTTTCCCATTGTATTCCAGGCTCAATTCTCCAAATCAAACTGGAACCATCAGGTCCCGAATTCCAGACGGCTCTCTTTCGTGCTTCAATACTAGTTTTTGCAAAGTGCCGCTCAGGCTTTCAGCCTCTCGAAAGGGCACAGCTGTCTAATGAAGACTACAAACCTACAGTGGAGCTATAGAAGCAAAAAGCTATTAAGAACTGAACTACGAAGCATCATAAAATACAGAATTTTTATTACATTCTTCTTTTTTAAAGATTTTTCCTTTTTCTCCCCAAAGCCCCCCAGTACGTAATTGTATATTTTTCGTTGTGGGTCCTTCTAGTTGTGGCACGTGGGATGCCACCTTAACACAACTTGATGAGTGGTGCCATGTCTGTGCCCAGGATCCAAACCGGAAAACCTTGGGCCTCCGAAGCAGAGCATGCGAACTTAACCACCCGGCCACAGGGCTGGCCCCTTTTTAGTACATTCTTAAGGGAACCTTGGGGTAGAGTGGAATCTTAAGGAAATAAGACAGAGGTGAGGCCACCGACAACCTGGGGATGTCTCAGAAGAGGCTAGTCAAGACATCATTAACTATCCAGCTGACAGACCCTCAAAACAAATTACCTCCCCCTCAGAACAGACACATTCTTAATGCTATTTTTAGTACAATGGCATTATGAAATTCCAATGGCCTCAACAGATTACTGACTTGGACAAGGGAATAATGAAGCCAATGTAACAGTCTCCTTTGCCAAACAACTTGTGAAAAAACGAAACCATAACCAGTGTTTCCCTTTGTTCAACCTCAGAAAAGCTGTTCTTGCATTTTCTTTAGAATATCTTTATATTAAAGACCACTGATATATTACCATTACCTCATTTTCAAAGCGTTAACTTGGCTGTAAAAATTAGTGCCTACTAATACAAACTTCTTTTGGTTACACGAGAAGCACCAGAGGGGGAACAGCGGACCGCCTAAACAGAGGGAGTAGGTGCTCATTATTTGAATGACTTGGGATGGTGCTGTTTTTAACCGAATTCTGTGTAAAGAAAATTAAGCCCATCAAAATTCAGGGGGAAAACTGAGAGAAAGATCCTTGATCTAGGCTTAATTCCTTCTCTGATAAAACTCCAAGAAGTGTCAAAGATTCTCTAAAAAGTTATCTTCCCAAGGTAGAATCAACTTTTAGATGTCAAGTCCTTTTTGAATCCTTTTTTAGCAAATCTGCTGAGGTATGAAATAAAAACTGAATTGACTCTCTATTAGAATGAGGGTTTCCTAATCCGTAAAAGGAAGGGCTAGAGGAAAATCTTGGGGTATTTAAAAACTGTTTTTATAAGAAACTGGCAGCTAATGATTTGCACATAGTTTTATTCATTTTCAACAGAAGCTCAAGGAGAATGTACCTGAGAGGAAGGTCGACTTACGTGAAACTTGGAGGCAAGGGGTAGTCT